ATGCAGAAGGGGCTGCAACCCGTGTCAACGTATCTGGGACAGCTGCGTCAGTTCTCCTCTGGAAGGTTGGGTTGGTTGGGTGTTATGGGGCAGATGCAAGGCTGAGAGGTATACTGGTTGGATTGTTTTGTTTTGCTCTCGGATGGCATCTCAAGCGGGAACATCATCGTGTGTTGTTTTTTTTTTTATGGGGGCTCTCAGGCGGGAGCCTCTTCGTGGTTGTTGTTGTTCGGGGGGGAAAGGATCTTAGGCGGGAGCCGCCTCCTGTTTAGGATTGGTGGTGGCCTCTCGGGCGGGAGCCTCCTCATGCGGGGTGTAGTGGGTGCCTCTCAGGTGGGAGCCTCCCCCTGCGTTTTTTTTGGTGGGGCCTCTGAGGCGGGAGCTTCCTCCCGTTTTTCTTGTGGGACCGCTCAGTGGCGGGAGCCTCCCCTAGTTGGGCTTGTGTTGTGCCACTCACGCGGGGGCGTCCAAAGTGACCCCAAATAGATCACAAGTAGATCCCACTTAGAATGGAGCAGGCCCCAGATCTAGAGACCCCAGCTGGATTGCACGTGGATTCTGCTTGCATTCCAAGCAGAACGGGGGATATCACAGACCCAGAATATTACAATTGTGTTCCAGTTGGATTCCGCTTGGATCGCAATTTCCAAGAGCCCTAGGGGGAGCCTTGGATGTTGCCGAATTCCCAAGTACCAGCGAGCCCAGACCTGAAACATGCCACAAGACTGGAGTGAAGCTGACTGGAGTGGACTGAAGCAGATTGGGCTGGAGTAGACTGGACTGGGGTGGATTCTACTCCAGTCTAACCAGCTCTACTCTACTCTACTCTGCTCTGCTCTTTTCGAGTCTGCCCGACTCTACTCTACCACCACCTCTACTCTATCATACTTTGCTCTGCCCTACTCTTCCCTGCTCTACCCAACCCCTTCCTTAATATAGTCTACTCTGCTGTACACTACTCCATTATCCTCTGCCCATGCTATACTCCAATTGACGCCGTCGTTATATAATTGAGTCTAGTCTGACCAACCTCGCTCTAGCATGTTCAATTATAATATACTATACTCCCGTATACTCATGACACTTTGTCATCTACCCGACCCTGCTCTACACGATTTTGATTTACTAGACCGACATCTGCTTGACACTCCACTACTCGACCCTCCACTACTCACCTGTTTTCAACTCTATTGTCTTACCCAACGCTACGCATATTCATAATCTGCTCCTACTCTACTCTGCTCTGGTCTGATGCCATCTACTCTAATATAATGTGTTATGCTCGGTTATACCCGACTCTACTCTACCTGCCCGGTTATACTCTATCATCTGCCCTGCTCTTTTTTTCTCCCAGCTACCCAACCCTAACCTACTCTATTACATACTGCTTCCACTCTCACTCTATTCGGCTCTGCTCTGTATCTGCCATACTCCTACTCTGCTCTACTCTACTCTGGCTCGACTCTAGTCTACGTTCATCCACTCTAGCCTGGTCAACCCTATTCCGCTCTGCTACGTTCTACTTGAATCTACCCTAATATACCCAACGCCGCTCCATGATCTACCCTACTCTGCTCTAGCCTGCCCTGTGCTACTCTACCCTCCTCTACCCTACCCGGCCCGAACCTATTCGAATGAATTCTGCTGGGTCTGCCCTGTTCGGTTATACTCTACGTGTACTCCTGCTCTGCTCCAGTTCTACTCTGCGACGCAACCATCGACTCGACTCTGCTGTACTAAATGTGGTTCAATCCAACTCCACACTGTCTACCGATTCTACGCGGCCGTCTACCCCCAGTTCAACTTGTTACCCTACTAGACAGGCTTCTCTACACTGCTCTACTGCAGCTCTCTAGCCTCTAGCCTGCAACCATAAGATCCACTCCACGCACTACTCCCTAGTCTAGCCTCTACGCTACTCGCTACTGCACCCTCACCCTACAGCATAGTAGATACTGCAGTAGAGCAGGGCCGAGTAGAACATCGATTCGCTCGAGTAGAGAGCACAGCGTTGAGAGTAGAGAGTCGGGAGTAGAGCGAATGGCAGAAAGTGGAGTAGACAGTGGGAGTCGAGCAGACGATAGCTCAGAGGAGGGTGGGGAGCAGGGGCATGGGGGCAGAAGTGAAGATGTCGTATGGGAGGGGCAGAGAGTTTGAACACATAGCTGAAATATGAGACAAGGTAGGGTAGACTAGAGTAGCAGTTATAATAGTTCAGCACATGAAACGTAATAGAGAGAATGCGGGAGTAGAGCAGATGAGGGTGAAGCGAAGTAGAGTACAACAGACTTGGGTGTACATAGTAGCCTAGAGTGATTTGCTCTCTCTCTCTCTCTCTTTCTATCCCTCTCTCTCTGTCTCTCCGTCCTTCCCTCTCTTTCCCCTTGTAAGCAACAACGCGCTGAACTGGCCAAGCCTTGGTACGACCTGGCGCATGAGGAAGAAGAGGCACAGGCACAGCGTCGATGATAGGAGGAGGAGGAGGAGGAGGAGCGACCGTACCCAAGGAGGAGGAGGAGGAGGAGGAGGAGGAGGAGGAGGAGTAGGAGGAACACGCTACAGCCTAGTTGCTAGAATCCGCCTAACGCCAGAAGGAGGAGGAGGGACGGTGCCTGACGCTTCGAGGCTTCGCCCCCCTGCGGCTGGCATAATGCAAGGCGGCGGTGCGAGGGCACGAGGGCTTGCGGGCGGCGCGCGCACCTGGAGCACGACCACCTCGAAAGGGCAGCCGTCCAGCTCCCTCTCGGCGACGCAGCCAGGCTGCAGCCAGGCGTCCTGGCGGCGTCCCTGGCCCCTCCCGGCAGGGGCAGATCCTCCTCCTCCTCCTCCTCCTCCTCGTCCTCCTCGTCCTCCTCGTCCTCCTCCTCCTCCTCCTCCTCCTCCTCCTCCTCCTCCTCCTCTACCACGACCATACTGTTATTTTGCGCCCTTCGGGGCCTGCGCGGAGGCCCGTATCGCCGCGGGCCTCCCCGGTGGTCCTGGTGAGAACGCGCTCCAGGAGAGCGCCAGACGTCGAGCGCGAGAGGCGGGAACCGGGGGGAGGCAGGGGGTGGGAGGAGAAGGGCGCGAAGGAGGAGAGGGGGCAAGAGGAGGAGGAAGAAAATAATGAGGAAAAGGAGGAGGAGGAGGAGGAACAGAAAGAGAAACAAAAGCAGAAAGAGGAGGAAAAGAGGTGGGAAAGGAGGAGGAGGAACAGGATGAGGATGAGGAGGGGGAGTGTCATGAGTGTCATAGATCCAAGAAGTGAACGACCAGCGAGGCTCAACCGTCACCCTCGGCCTCCCAGACAGGAGGAAGGGGCCCGCAATGGCCAGCACCGACGGTTTGGGGGAAGGCAGATACCTCGTCGCTCAGCGACTCGCTGCCCAACCGAGACGGCGTGGTGCGTAGGGGGACAGCCGGTTCACCGCGTCACCGCGCAGCAATTCCCGACCGTTACCCCTGCCGAATCGGATGGCATGTGCAACTGGGTTTGCACCCCAGGGTGAGCGGACACTAGGTCCCAAGGGACTTACGGACCACATGGCCCCGCCTCTCAACCAAATGCACACTCCCCGTGCCTGGTACCCATCTCCAGGTCACGGGCGCAGCGAACGCGCCGCTGCCACGGGCAAAGTGCCATGTGGCTGGTGCAAGAACGACGAAAGCCGGTTTATCTGCCCCCAGCCGCCGCATGCAATTGATACTGACAGTGTGCCCCGAGGAGTGTGTGGCGCTGACACCATGAGAACAGGTGCCAGGCCCCCACCCTCGGGGCGAGGATGAGGAGGGGGAGGAGGAGGAGGAGGAGGAGGAGGAGGAGGAGGAGGAGGAGGAGGAGGAGGAGGAGGAGGAGAGGAGGAGAAAGAGGAGGAGGAGGAGGAGGAGGAGGAGGAGGAGGAGGAGGAGGAGGAGGAGGAGGAGAAAGAGGAAAAGGAGGATCGCATGTCCAACATGCGGGCGTGTCCACGGTTGGTGCATGCGCGCCGCCAGGAGTCACGGCCGCTCGGGCCTCTCAGTGGATGAGGGACCTCCTGAACACGGAGAAACAGATCGTTGACAGGAAGGCATGCGGCATAACCGATCTGTAATGCTCCTGTGGACGGAGCCGTCCGAGATGCTCGCGGTCTCGTCGCTCGTTTCCAGCACTGGTCCGATATGCGCCACATTTTCCAGCACTGCTGCCATCGCTGACCCGTTAAAGCCGTCACAGCGGAAGGAATTGCTTCATGGTCCCAGACCAGTCCAGGGCCACGATCTGCGCCTGGACGCCGTTGGAAAGGCCGCTCGGTCGCAGCATACTCTGTTTCATTGCATCCGCGAGAAAGTCCTTCTTGATCAGGTCTTGGACGGAACCGATCGCCGCCGATCTTGCGCCCGGAGGGACCTCCAGAAGGACACAGGCTGCGGAGCCCCGCGAAGAGCTTGTCCTGGCCGCTCGCTGACTACATGCACGGAGCGTTCGGGCCCCATCCACCACATCCTGGTCGGACAGGTCGTCCCATTCAGTAGGAGGGGCATGAATGGACAACCAGCTACGAGACGCACGGCGCTTGTGCTCATGGCGCCTCTCTATGGCTGACACCTCTCGAAGTTCCGCTCGCGCAGCCTAACACATGCCAGAATGAGGACCTCTCTCGAAACATGTCCGCGCCTCTTGCTTTCGATCGAGACCCCAGTCCCCAGGATGAGAAACAAGACGAAAAACCCAAGGACGTTGTACGAGTAGGCTGCGCACCACTGTATCCACTCCCAGGCGTTAGTGGACACAGTGCTTGTGCAATGTGACTCGCAATTATTTTGGCTCCGACTCTGCCCTGGCAGAATGCATGGCAGACGAATGAACGCGCAATCACTTTGCAAAGAAATTTGCATGTGACGGCCGCGCTGCACGCTGGCCCCCTTACCCTGGCAGCGCACGGTTCGAACTAGCAACGCGCCGAATGGCTCTGGTTCGCTTGCTGGTATCCTGCCCGGCTTGCTGTCAACGATCTGCGAATTGCGGTGACGATGCGCCTGGTGCTTCGTCATGCGCGCCCTGTGCAACCCATGCCCGGCCATCTCAGCGCGAACATCACCCCACAAGGCAGGCGTTGCGGAGATAACCTTCTAATCTGCCAGGCTTGCATCGAAATGTTCAGCGCCCACGGCGCGTACATCGCGGTAGGAGCACGCGGCGAATAATCAGAGTGAGGGGGCCGAACGGTCATTCACTGTCCCTGGGTGCGTGGCTGAAGTGGAATTCCGCGGTGCGGATTCTCGTTGTTGTTTGTTGTTGCTTGTTGTCGTCGTCCCACCCGCGACCCACCCGCGACCCACCGCGCGACCCACCCCGAAACCCACCCGTGACCCACCCGCGACCCACCCGCGACCCACCCCGCAACCCACCCCGCGACCCACCCGCGACCCACCGCGCGACCCACCCCGAAACCCACCCGCGACCCACCCGCGACCCACCCGCGACCCACCCCGCAACCCACCCCGCGACCCACCCCGCGACCCACCCCGCGACCCACCCCGCGACCCACCCCGCGACCCGCCCGCGGCCCACCCCGCGACCCACCCGCGACACACCCGCGACCCACCCGCGACCCACCCGCGACCTACCCCGCGACCCACCCGCGACCCACCCGCGACCCAAACCACGTTCAAGGTGCAAACCACCAGCGCCTGCGGCTGGCTTTTTTGCATTCCTTCCAGGTGGAGAACCCGCGACCCACCCCGTGACCAATTCGCGACCAAGCCGCGACCCAAACCGCGTTCAGGGTACAAACCACATTTTTCGGCGCCTGCGGCGGGCATCTTTTGCATTCGTTTCAGGTGGAGAACCCGCGGACCACCCGCGACCACGTTCAGGGTACAAACCAGATTATTCGGCGCCTGCGGCGGGCATCTTTTGCATTCGTTCCCGGTGGACAACCCGCGGCCCACCCGCGACCCAAACCACGTTCAGTGTACAAACCAATGTTTTTGGCGCCTGCGGCGGGCTGCTTTTGCATTTCTTCCAGGTGGAGGTGGAGAGCCCGCGACCCGCCCGCGACCTAAACCACAAGCGCGGCGGCGGATTTTTGCACGCCGTCTGAGCCCGCAAGGACCTCTTCAATCCCCGCGCATCCACACCAGCCCGCCCAGCAACTCTGCGCTGGCGAGTTGCCTTGATCAGAGAAGGCGGGAAGCATAAAGTGGGAAAAAGGAGTGCGTTGCAGTTATGTTGGGAAAGGAGGGGGAGGCAGGAGGAGTAAACTGGGGACGAGGAGAACGCGGAAGAAGAGAGGATGTAAGGAGAGCATGGAGAAAGAAAAGGAGGAGGAGCAGGAGGACGAGGAAGGGGGGAGGAGGGGGAGGAGGGGGAGGAGGAGGACGAGGAGGGGGAGGAGGGGATGATGATGATGATAGACGACAATGGGAGGAGGGGGAGGAGGGGGAGGGCGATGATGGAGGCCGATTAGGGGGAGGACGACAATGGGAGGACGATGATGAAAGGACGAGGGGGGGGGGAGAGGGAGGACGAGGAAGAAGAGGAGGAGGAGGACGAGGTGGAGGAGGAGGATGACGATGACGATGAGGACGAGGACGAGGAAGAGGAGGAGGAGCAGGAGGAGGAGGAGGAGGAGGAGGAGCAAACGACACGCTGGGGAGAGCGCACGTCTGTTGATTAGTGTCGCCGCGGCCCCGCGCCGCCCACGAGGCATCGGGGGGGCCTCAGGGCGCGGCGGGCGGCGGCAACAACCTCCTTGTGGTAGTTGTACTCGTTGTGGTTGGCGGGCATGCCGAGCTCGGAGCGCGCCCGCAGGATGTTGTAGCTGCGGTAGGCCACGGCCATGCGAGTGATGGTGCGCCTCGGGTGGTCGTCGACGATGCCGTTCTGGTGGAGGCCCAGGCGAGTGAGGGCATCACCAGCAGGTTGCCCACGTGGTTGAGCCAAGAGCGCCCACATCCGAGGGCATGATATGTAGTGGCTGATGTCGTCCGTGCTCTTGGCCTGCAAGTCCTTGTCGCAGCCGGACAAACAGTTCTTCTTGTGGGGATTGACGTGCATGCGGTGTGAGGTCGTCCATGCGCCTGACAAGGTCTTGACCGCGGGCCAGAAGAGCGAGGCCGTGGAGTTCGCCAGGTGGGACCGTAGATCGCGCCAGACGTGTTCAACACTGGCAGGGAGAGCAGCGCGGCCAGGAAGTCCGTCACGGTCGGGTGTATCGGTGTCCATCATGATGTCACTGGTGGAGTGGATGGGAAGCGTGGAGGTGGTCGCAATTGTAGACTGGGTGTCGCCGCCTTCCTGCGGGAGGCACGGGTTGGTGGCACGTTCGCGTTCGATCCAGCGACGACGGGCACGGTGTTCAGCAGCTTCGTCAGCAAATTCTCGATGAGTGGTGGTCGACATGTGCTCGGTGGTGTAGATCTGCAAGCGGTGGTTACGAGGGCGGTCAGTTCGATGCCACGCACCGTAACATACGTATCTCCGTCGCCATGTCACGGCGAGCACAGGCAGGCCCGTACTGGTCATCGAGGCTGAAGTGCGCCTTGAACTGGGCGCGGTGAAGTACAGCTGCGACGTAGGGGGCGCACCAGTCCATCCAGTCGTTGAAGTTATCCATGTCGCGGGCGAAGAACACGCTGGGGATCAATCTTGCTGCCCATGCTTCTGCGCGTTCGTTCAGGTACTTCATGGAGTCGTGATCATCATTCCCAGTCGGTTGCTCGGATGTAGAAGGCGCCATCGGGGAGCCACTGCCGACAGGAAGTAGTGGGAACCAAGCACGAAGACGATGATGAATGGTCTTGTGGAAGGAGTC